CCAGTAAGCGGGCCACCCCAGTATGTGGGCCACCTCCCTAAACTATTACATCTTTGTAATAGTATTGCGCAACACCACTACAATATTTTTTATTAAGTAGAATAAGATATTATTCTTTAGACGCACTGCTATCCTCTGTATCCTCTAATTCTACTTAATAAGTGCGAGAGTTGTGTCTAATTTGGCTGCAACGCCCGCAGCGCCGTTCACTACGCACCCTCTTCGCAGACGTTGCACCATTATTATAGCTACCACCCTCTGCCTTAGCGATCTAATTAGCTATCTAGCTAACTATCTAGGACCCCTCTGCCTGTACGTAGCGCCTCTTACGAGTTTTTCGCTTTATTACTTTAGTAATTGTAGCTTTAAGGCGATTAAGTTTCTCCTATATTAACACTATATTATAAGCTATCTACTAAGCTTCCTTACTTAACTGCTGTATCTACTTCTTAAGAGAACTTATAAGAGACCCTTGCTAGATTTGTATACAGTCTTGAATAAGCGTAGCCTGCGCCTCTATTTCGCGCGCGTTGCGCGGCGTTTTCGGCTCCCAAGCAGTAGTCTCTTGCGCTGGTGGAGTTAGCGTACGCAGCATGACGTTAAGCTGTGATAAAACAACGTTATAATCGTGCGGTGAAAGTCTAGCACCTTAGAACCCTTTGCAGATATTTTCTAGTGTAATAGCCTTATAATAAGCCTTTTTAAACGCTAGTAGGAAGGTTTCTTTGCTAATATAGTAGATGCGATTGCGTGCTAAGACTAAGATAGCATCACCATACGCGCGCTTTAACGGCGAGAAGCAGCCCACATTAAGAGGCTGTAAGAGGTGCGACGAGTGGGGAGGCATACAGAGGAGGATTATCTTCATCTCTTCGCAGAGATCTCGGAAATCCACCGAGCAGTGGCTCTCATAGCCGTCAATAATAAGCAGCCTATGCGTCCCCACAGGCCGCGCATGGGAATCAAAGTGACAAAGCTAGTCAAGCGCTAGATCGTTGTTTGTCTAGCTAGTAGGACTAACTTAGATCACCTAGTCGCGTGGCAGATCCTCTGTAAACTAGGTAGAGATTAGAACCTTGCTAGCAAAAATAAGAAACGCTGGGATACGCGTGCCTGTTGCGCCAACGCCTTGTATCAGCGTAACCTACTTATGATTGCCTAGCTAGATC